TGTTAACCAACGCGACGAGTCCGACTTGGCGCGGCCTGATCGTGAAACCGACGCGACCTTTCGGACCGTCGCGGCGTGTGATTGGTCGACAAAACGACGTGAAATAGTGTATCCGCCACTGGATCTCACGCGACGGGGACAGGCGACGCGGTGGTCCAGGTAACGCAACCAGCAGCACACCCACTTGCTTACACGTGCTACGTGGTCCCTGGGTGTTGTGCGTCGCAATACGAGCGTGCGCACACCGGCCAGCAGCTCGATTGGCTGGATCCCCGTACCGTGTACTTTCGAAAGATATGAGTTAGCTGGAAAATAGTGTTGCATAATGAATTCATCTCTGCAGCGTGGTCTACGAACGCGAGCGCCGTGCAATGGACCGATAGGGCGCCGTGTGCTGTCCAGAACTACCCTCTCGAAATCAAGGACCTACAGGGTGACGCTCCAATGGCGATCGTTCGAATTTAGTGTGGTCATCGTGGAGGTAGTGGCCACAAGGGACTTTGCACTTCCAAAACGATGCCACCAGTGAGTTTGCTCTTGCCAGTTGCTCGAATCTTCGCGGCGTCTGCGATCGCCTCGGGCCAACCAGGAGAGCGTGGAATGCGGTCTTGCGACACCAAGCTTGACAGTTCATTGCGCACGACCGATCAGGTGCAGGTGTAATGCAGTACTAGCTGTACTTATCCTCCTGTGGCGGCTCGGTTTTATGCAGCAAGTAGCTTCCCGCACGCGCTTCGCAGGGTGGATCGCTCGACAGTGCTGTCGCGGACAAGCCAGTGCTGCCGACACTACACATCGAAGTACGTATAGCTTTGTTTGGCTGCTGGGTGTGAATCAGAGAACCACGGCGTCGCTCTCGTCGAGGTAATCCGCAATTGCCGGCAGCGAATCACCTGCGTCGATATCGAGCTTTGATTGAAGTCGCACGTATAGTATATAATTTATTGGGTGGGCGGTGACGCTCCAGACACACTCGCCCGACCGCCCGACTGTCGAACGGCGAGATGTGCAGTTCAGAATTCCTTTCATACCATCATGGTCGCGCCGCCGGTCGTGGCCGCCGTGGACACCCCATGGTTTGTCAAGAAGGAGTTCTCTCTGAGCCCGACGACGCTCCTCACGACGGTGTCACCGATCCTAGAAGCCAAGGTGCGGCCGGCGCTGACAGTCGACACGACACAAAGCGCCGCCAACACCCTGTATCTAGCGCTCTCGGCCCAGACACGCCAACTCCAGCGCGACCTCGCCGCCGCGCTCGAGAGCATCAAAGTGCTCACGGCGGAGCGGGATGCGGCCCACGCCACGATCCGTGAGCTCCAAGCGGCCAACGAGGCGCACGTCGCAGGCCTCACTAAGCGCGCGAACGACGCCGAGGCCAAAGCCCTCGCAGCATCCGCGGACGCGCTCCTTGCAAACATGGCGCGCCTCGACTTGGACTACCGTCTCTTGCACCTCCAGGCGACGCACCATGAGCGCTGCACACAGCTCGAGCTCCACAACGCCAAGCTTTTGCGCGACGTCGCGACGCTTCTGGCCCACCGACACCGTCTCGAGGAAGAGAAGGACGTCCACGAGACCGTCATTCGAACTCTCCACGCGCGCACGAGCTACTTTAAAGCTCGCATGCGTGAATTGGAGACGGACCTGGATACGCTCACGCACCTTATGCCGGCCGTGACGACGCCGGTGACGGCGATCGCGCCTAAGCTGGTGCGCCAGCGATCGTTGCGCCAGACAAAGCCGCTACCGCCCCTTCGCATTCTCACGTCCAAGGTCGTCTCGAGCATGCTCCATGAAGCCGCGATGCTGTACTCGCTCCATCGCGCCAACGAGCTCCGGAAACCGCGCCGCTGCAAACGCCTCTCGGCCAAGAAACCGTCTCGCCGTCTCCTCCTGCTCTAGACACATTCTCTGCATCCCTATTTTATGGCCAACATGGCCCCTAGACGCCCTCAACTTATGACGACTATTTAATTTCGACTTTTTCCAATCTCCAAAACTTTGTCAACAACGTGCAATGCTAGAATATGTAGAATGGACAAGGTATGTCCATGCATCCAGCAGCAGCCTGAGCCCAACAGGATAGCCGAGACAGTCCCACTTGGTGTCGCAAGATACCCTCTGATAGACTCTTGCGCAAGACGGAGCTGCAAGACGAGGCTTTGAAAATGTGGTTTGAACTTCAAGTGCATGCACCTTGAATCTCCAATCTCCGACGTCGAGGCGACTTGGGTAAAGCCGCGCGTTGCAAGCTTAAGTGGTCATGTGGCCTTGGGCTAACAGTGACATAGCGTCGTCAGCATGATCCCCGCCGTTAGCGATCTCGCAAACGAGGCTGCCAGAAGCACGCCATTAGGATGCGAGTAATCCACGAAAGTGGGTTTAAATATCACGGTACAGTAGCTAACCACCAAAATATCGAACTCGAGACGAAAGAAAGTCGAAATATCCGATTGGTTGCGAGATACGATGATGATCATGTTCGTGTGCATTGGTTCGCGTCACGGGTAGACCGTGTCGAGGGCGAGAAAGAGCCGACGAAAGGCCACGTCGACCTGGACACCGTCGAGACCTTCCTCCGTAAACGGGTCTTCGAGCGCTTTCTCCACGTTGAAGATGCCGATCATCGTCACGCTCGTCATCGCACTCAGCACGAGCGCAAACGCAAAGCTCGTGTGGCCGTCGCCCGACGCGATGATGTAGACGTAGTACGGACCGTAAAAGCACGGCAGAAGCAGAATGATGAGGCGACTGAACGACCGCGTCGCTTGCGGCGTCCGGTACAACTTGATGTTGCAGAGGCGCTCAAAGCGCGCTTGCAGAAACCAGTGGTATTGGTTCAGTCGCGACGCTTCGTTGGGCGGAAGACCGAGACCTTTCATGGTCTCGACCTGGAAATGCAGCTGCCGGAACGCCACCATCATGCGCTGGTAGAGTGTGTCCACCTGCGCGTTGTAGTGGACGGCCTCGGCCGCGCCGCTCTGCGTGAAGCGGTGCCGGCCGCGCGTGAACGTGGGCATGAGCAGAAACGTGTAGAGGTCCGTGAGGAGACCGCGGAGGAGCAGCTTGGCGCGCGGGTTGTGCTCGGGCGGCAGCTCTTGGCGGCCATTTTTGCCCCAGTTCCAGACCGTGTTGGCGAGGAGGATGTTGGATGCGATTGCTTTCACTAGGATATATACAGTCCATCAACCTCCATTGATAGAGAAGGAGGTGCGAACTCTCTGCGATGGCGTCGAGCGCGTTCTCGCGGCGCGTGAACGCCTGGCGGATCTGCATGATCATGGGCGAGACGACGGCGAAGGTCACGAGGATCCACGAGAGGTTGGCGCTAAAGTGCTGCGGCACGCCGCTGCTGTCCGCCGGCATGTAGTAGTAGTACGCACTCGGCGCGCCGAGCGAGACGAGGAACACGAGGAGCGTATCAAAGTTGACGAGATGCGACCAAAAGATGACGCCAGCCGCGTACCAGTCGAGGAGTGCGTCGCGGCAGTGGCCACGGAAGGACGCCTTGGAGTTGATCGACGTGGCCACCTTGCGCGAGCTGTTGGTCGTTGGCTCGTGGATCTCGATGTAGTGCTCGGGCGCGCAGGCGAAGGCGTCGCGGAGGAGCGGGTCGTCGGTCCAGTCGCGGCTTGTCGTCGTGCTGTCGCTGCCGTGGGACCGCATCGTGCTCAAATGTCGTTTTTTCCACGTTTTGCAAGCGTTTGTCCCAAAACACACCCATTTTCACCATAACAATTCGAGGTTTGTCCCAAAAACAACGTTTCCCACCGATAGAAAAGCACCAAACGACATCGTTGCGAGAGACACTGCCACGAGGTCAGCACCAAGTACAGGTACACGCATCGAGTCTCGATGGCGACGTTGCCATAACGCCGCGTGGATGGCAGCACGGGGCCGGCGACACCTACATGCTCCTTGAAAAAAGCTGCCGGCGGCTGCCAGGCTGTGTACGTGTCGCGAGAGCAAGCTTGGTGCGATGCGCTCATCATGCTACGGGTACAAGGAACGCGCCGACGGAGAGCGCGGTGTCTTTAGCTTTGTGCATTCACGGTGTCGCAGGTGCATGTATAAGCACGATACTAGTAGCTGTAACCAATCACGCTCGTTGCGGAAACGTTGGGTGAGCTCTTGTCGTCCTCCGGCGCGCTGTCCGTCCGGCGGAATCTGTCCACCAGACAATCGGTGCACACGCACTGTGCCGCAAGCGCACACTATTCGCATCATGCTGCGACGCAAACAAACAAGTCCACATCGCGCAGGACACAATCATCCTCGATCGTTGTTGAAGTTGAGCGTCCTGTATCCGGATAAGCCGACAAACATGTGTTCTCAGTTTGAATCAGATAATGGCTGGATCGTCGGGGCGGGCCAGCTCATAGCACCAACATAGCGGTCTCTAGGCCTGCGGAAAACGATCCGAGCGACCTCACAAACACCTCTGGCTCGCAGAGTGCTCTTCTTGCTGTAAGAGGACCCCAGTACCCTCTGCACACCACGGACTTCATACCATATGGTACCTGCTCTTATTACCAGCAATCATCTGGTCGCTGGCTTGTCTTGGTCAAATGGCCGAAGCGGCGTTGCGTGGTCTACAGCTCGTCTTTGTCTACCAAGATGGCTTGAGCCATGACGTGGTCCCTCTCGTGCGCACTCTATACGCCACCGCACCCGACCATGTTCGCGACCGTGCGGCGTTTGCTGTCGTTGACGCGCGCTTTCGCGCCTGGTTGGACGCGGCCGGCCACGACGGCTTGCCTCGTCTGTGTCAGTGTCGAGTCCCCGGGCGCCTCTTCCAATATGCGCTCGTTATGGCCACCTGCCGCTGATCGCCCATCTTCATATAGCGCGCCGCGTGCACGTCAACCGGACGCGCGCACTGGAGTCTTGCCGCCAAGTATGAGCAGCTACCCGTGCTCGCCTATTACTTTGCAGAGCACTGCGACGAGTTCCAGCCCGACATGATGGCGCGTGCTGCGTACCGTGGCCACTTGTCGGTCGTGCGCTTCTTACACGAAGCTGGCGTACGCGGCAACAGTGCCGGCGCGCTCATCTGGGCGAGCGAACATCGAAGCAAAAACGTGCCGGGGCTGGGCCACGGACGCTCGAGACTGCAGCGCGCTTTGGCCTCGCCAAAGCCGTAAGCTTTCTCCTGGCGCGTGTACCAACAACGTGTGTCGACGCCGCCTGCTTACTCGCCGCACAACATGAACACGAGGACGTTGTGTGACTTCTGGGCGACTGCCTGACCGACGAGAGCGTGTAGTGAGCAGTGGCCTTGGCCATGGAGCACGAACACGTGCAGGTACCGGTACTTACGTACTTCTGGTCCCTTCGACCGCACGTCGCCGACACCACCGCCGCTTTGGTCGCAGGCACCAAGCGCCAGCACCCCGCAATCGTCGAGTACCTCCAACAGCGCAAGCGTTGGCGTCGACCGTGACAGCGCCGTCACCACTGATGCTAGAGAACGAGATTTATGCTCTAAGTCCATTTGAACAACATGGAGTGTTGTTCATCTCTCATGTCGGCGTTCGAAGCTCCGCTCTGCAGAGCCAATAGAACGCATTCCCCGTCTGCTACACCATAGGAGATCCCGAGCTTGTGCACTGCGCAAAAGAAGGCTATCAAGTCGTAGATGTCACAGCGTTGGTAGACAATATGGGCTCTCAAATCATCCCTCGATTCGATGCCACTATAACGTTATTCATGTGCCCGCAAGGATTCTGTGCAAGCTAGAGCGCAGTGTCATCCAACGAACGTGCCGTCTCTAGCTCGAGTGCCGGGGGGTCCCACGTCGTGCGCTCATTGACGTGGTCGATGTAGAAACGTCGGCCCTTGGCGTCAATTGCCGAGTCCCACCCGGGCGGCAACGCTGGAGCATTGGCCTCGAGCTCGACACGGGCCTTGGCGACAAAGGCCAGCAGCCGACTGCGGTGCGCTGCCCCGTCCGACGACAGCGGGCGCTACAACGTCCGTTGCGTGAGATGCCACGAACAATGGAGTGAGGACCTTGGGGGTAGCACACGCTTTGCGTGGGTTGGGGGACGGGGACCTACGCTCGACAATTCAGCGCCAAACAACGACGAGGTGCAGCAAACTACCGAAGTTGATTGTGCTTGGCTTTGGCTTGTGGTGGTCGCGGAGAGACCTGCGATTGTTGTCTGTCACGAAAGGACCGTGTCGCCATGAAGATGATGCTACCACGTTGTGTTTACGGGTCTCGGGGTGCATGGCAGGAAAGTCGGTGCGCGGACTGCCCGCAATGAGTCGTGCCGTTGTCTACGTGTCTTTCTATAGCTTTCCATCGCCGATATGTCGCGTCTACCTTGGCGTTGTACTCTTCAATGTGCTGGTTCATATACGCAAGGCGCTGGGCGTGGTCTCGGAACTGCTTGCGCTCTCGGTACGGACTCGTCTTCCAACGTACATCACTATACATCGCATGTGTTGGCGCCGAGGGATGCAATAGACGAGTACATGACGCTGTCCTGGTCAAAGCACGGCGGGAACCCTAGTGGAATCATCGTCAGTGGATCGAGTCCCGTGTTTTCTCGCAGCAGCAGCGTCGTCGTCGTACGTGGCGGTGGCGGCACGTGTGGCGACATCACCTTGGGGGGCTCTACTCGCCTCTTGAGACCTTTGCACCATGTAAGAGATCCACGCACGGCGCGGTGACACAATGTGCGACGTCGTCGTCGGGTGGCATGCCGTCTTGGCAATGACCGCTTGGAAGCGCTTGAGTTCCATCGCCGTCTGCTCCTTCCCACCGGCATTGCGCTCGTCAAAGGTGCCAATGCATCGCCGGTTCACTCGGTACATGCTGCGAAATCGTCGAGTCCTGTTCCGTCGTCTTCCGATGCTCGATCGATTGACGCGCCTAAAATTAGCCAACGACAGAGCGCGAGACGTTCCGAACAAGAGCGTCTGCATGCGCCCGGCCAACCATGTGCTCCAGGAAACCACGTACACGGACGCGTACGTCCACGGGCACGACGTGGCCGGCGGCATCTCGGCCGTCGAAGGCGCATGGTATGCGTGCCTCGGCATGGATTCCACCTCACTTTAGCGTGCGATGTAGGACGCGGCTTTTGCAGCGCCATCGCCACCTCTACTTTAGCGTCATGGCGCCGCTCTCGCAGTACAGTTCCGACGACAAGCGGCCGTTGTACTACTCGCCGACGCAGCTTGCCACCGCGGCGGCGACGATTGAAGCACGCACCGAGCACGTCGTCGCGCTCCAGCACCAGCTTTTGCGTGACTGGCACAGAGGCGCCACCTGCTTCCAAGCCGCGTGGCGGGGCTGTCTCGCACGGCGCCTCACGCGTCGCCAGCGCTTTCTGCTCAAGATCGAGCGGGTCGATCAACTGTACTTTGTTGCGTTTCATCGCCGCCGGCTCGCGATCGCTCGCCGCGAGCGACGTGTGCGAAAGGCTGCTGCGCACATCAAGGTACGTCGCTGCAGTCGTGGTCGCATGCACGGAGGATGAGGATGCTAGTCTCTCGCGCGGCGGGCCCATGTGCGGGCGACTCTTGTGCAGCGCAGTGTTCGACTCTACCTCTTCAAGTGCGCGCGCTGGCGCGCCGCGGCGACGCTTGTGCGCTGGTATCGCCGCGTGCATCACCGCGCCAAGCTTCGTGCGTGTGCGCGGCGCCTGCAGCGGTTTGTCGACTGGAAGCGGCGCGAAGTGCAGCTCCAGGAGCTCGCCGCCGTCGCTGTTGCCGCACGACGCAAGCATATCGAGGCCAAGCAAGCAGCGTACTTTGCGTTGCAGCCCGACCACGTCATTGTGCACCGCCTCGTGATGGCGCGCAAGCAAGACATCTACCGCGCACTGCACCCCCAGCAAGCGATCAACCAGCGACTTCGGTCGAGTACCGAGATGAGCGTTGCGCCTTTGCGAATTCCGATGGCCTCGAAGGCGATGCTAGCCAAAGCTTCGGTGGCCCGGTCCAAGCTGCGATGAGAGCAAACATTCAATCAACTAGTCGAAAAGAGCTAACTAACTAATCGAGCACAAGGACGACGGTTGAAAAAAGGTTCGATTTTTGAGATCTGACCGGTTTGTCCGGATGCTCTCGGCAGCGGTTTCTCAAGCGCCGATGGAGTACAGCGAGGCAACCGGGCTTGACGAGCCGCTCTTGGCCGGCGCTGAGGCCGGCGCGCCGTTCGCCGCCAGTGTGCGTAGCTTTAGCTTCTGCGCCGGAGCCGCCGTCAACGCGGACTTTCCAACGAACCGCGTCACGACGTCCAAGTACACGCTCGTGAACTTTCTGCCCAAGTTTCTGGCGCAGACGTTTACGAAGATGACCAACATCTACTTCCTCTTCATCTGCATCTTGGAGATGACGCCGGGTATCTCGACGTCCGGAGGTATCCCGACGACCGCGCTGCCGCTCATCGTCGTCATTGCCATCGACGCCTTCTTCCAGGTCGTCGAAGACTACGCGCGGCACGTCGACGATGACGTGGCCAACCACCGGGTGACGCACCGCTTGCTCTTGACTGGCGCGTACGAGCCAATTACGTGGCAAGAGCTCCGCGTCGGTGACATTGTGCGCATCCAGAACGGGTCGATCGCGCCCGCGGACGTCATCTTGCTCCAAGTCGAGTACGGAGCCGACGAAGCGCCGCGGCACTATAGCTACGTGGAGACGTCGAGCTTGGACGGCGAAACCAATTTGAAGATCCGGGAGGCCGTGTCCGAGACACACGGCCGGTCGCTGCATCGACTCGAAGGCGCGGTGCAGTGCGACCAGCCCAACGCGTCGGTCGACTCGTTTAGCGGCCAGCTACATCTGGCTGACCACTTGGAGTCGACGCCGCTTCAAGCCACGAACGTCCTTTTGCGGGGGTGCATCTTGCGCAACACGCCGGCGGTCATTGGCCTCGCTTTGCCACGGGCCACGACACCAAAGTGCTCCAGTGCGCGCGGGCCTGTCCCAACAAGCGCAGCTTTGTCGAAACGCAAGTCAACCACGAGCTGTGGTGCATGGTCATGCTTCTCTTGGCGAGCTGCGGTGCGACGGCGACCATCTCGACCTTCTTCGATTGCCTCGAGCTCCCGCGCGCGTGGTACATGCGACTGGATGCGCCGCCGTCGATCGTGGTGGCCTTTTGCCGCTCGTTTCTGCGCTCGTTCCTCATGCTCTCGAACGTCGTGCCCATCTCGCTCGTGGTCACTCTCAATATGGTCAAGTCGCTGCAAGCGTCGCTCATGGAGCGGGACCGCCACCTCCGCGATCCGTCCAGCGGCATGCCGTGCCGGGTCAAGACCATGGCGCTCAACGAAGACCTCGGACAAGTTTCGCACATTGTCACGGACAAAACCGGGACGCTCACGAGAAACGTCATGGTCTTCCGCGCGTGCTCGGTCAACGGCGTTCTCTACGGCGCCAAGGCCGCCCCCAATACATCCAAGTGGATGGCGTTTGCAGATCTGCACTTTGACGCTCGGATTGCGGCCGGGGATGGCCCTCTGAGTACGTTTCTACTGCACCTCGCGCTCTCCCACTCGGTGCTGGCGACGCGGCCCGCCGACTTGAGCGAGCTCGTGGCCGCGGCCGCATCGCCAGACGAACAGGCGCTACTGGCCATGGCATATGCCTACGGCTACCGCTTCCTCGGGCGACAGCCGGGCAAAGCCATCGTCCATGTACCAGGCCACGGTGCAGTGACCTTCGACGTGCTCCACGTGCTCGAATTCTCCAGCGCTCGCAAGCGCATGTCGGTCGTCGTTCGAAACCCGCTGCGCGCCAACGCGATCGAATTGCTTGTGAAAGGCGCCGACAGCGTCCTTTTGCCGCGCGCGGTTGCGTCGCCGACCACGAACCTGCACTTGCAGGCGATGGCCCGTGACGGCCTTCGGACACTTGTGATTGCACAGCGCACGTTGCCGCTAGCGCTCTACGCCGACTGGGAGCGTCGGTACGCGAGCGCCGTGCGCGACGTGGCACACGTCCAAGCCAAGGCCAAGCAGCTACCCAATGCGATCGACGCCCTCATGGACGAGCTCGAGACAGAGCTACATGTGCTGGGCGCGACTGGCATCGAGGACGGGCTCCAGGCGCACGTACCGACAACGATCGAAAAGCTACGCCTCGCCGGCATCAAGATATGGATGCTCACGGGCGACCACGTGGATACGGCGCTCAACGTGGCCCGCGCGTGCAACTTGCTCAAGAATACCACGAGCCAGCTCTCGTTATTGCAGTGCGCAACACCGACCGAGTGCTTCCGGGAGCTCCGAGAGCTCCAAAGCCGCATGCAGCCGCGCACCAAGTACGCGCTCGTCGTCGACGGCGACGCCTTGTACCATGTGATGAACCTCCCGTCGGCACATGACGCGTTCGCAGATGTTGTCCGCGCCTGTGAAGTCGTCCTCGCGTGTCGGACGTCGCCGATGCAAAAGGCGCAGGTCGTCGAGCTTGTCCAGGTCTTGCATGCACACAAGAAAAGAAATATCGCTCACTCGTTCCGTAGGGGCTGTTGGCAGGCACCCCGGGGCGCGTCTTGGCCATCGGGGACGGTGCCAACGACGTGGCCATGATCCAGTGCGCGCACGTCGGCGTCGGTATCTGCGGCCAAGAAGGGCTCCAGGCCGCCAACGTCAGCGACTATGCAATCGCGCAGTTTTCGCTTTTGCTCCGGCTCCTCTTTGTGCACGGCCGCCTCAACTACCAGCGCACCACGTTCCTCGTGCGCTACGTGTTTTACAAAAACATCATCTTGGTACAGCCTCTCTGCGCTATGGATATATATATATATCGATGACACTATTGTCATTCATTAGGTCATGTCGGAGTTTTGGTACAACCTCGTGAGCGGCGTGTCCGGCCAAAAGTTCTACAACGAAGTCGCGGTCGACAGCTTCAACACGCTCTACACGGCGCTGCCCATCGTGCTCTTTGCCATCATGGACAAGGTACAACATTGTCATCTTGTCCAACAATATGTGGATGATATGGGCCATAGGACTTGCCGTCCTGGATGTGTGAAAGCGTGCCTGGCTTGTACTCGATTGGCATCGGCAACGGCCTCTTTCGCCGCCGGTACCACCGATCCTGGCCATGCATGTCGCTGAGCATATATGGACGTGTAGGATGATTTGGACGTGGATCCTCTCGGGTGTCTTCGAGTCGCTCGTCATTTGCATGGTCGCCGTCCTCACCATGAGCAGTTGCGACTCGTTGGGGCGGCCGTTTGGCTTGTGGGAGTCGGGCGCGCTCGTCTTTACCCAGATTGTGCTCGTCGTCAACTACAAGGTACGGTCGATCGATCGAGACCAGATTGTGGAAATGTGGAAATTGCACTAGCTGGCGCTGCACCAGAGTTCGTGGACGATCGTGCAAGGCGCCGTGCTCGCACTGAGCATCCTCGCGTGGTTCGTCTCGGCGTTCGTCATTTCTGCGTCCCCGGACATCAGCACGGCGTGGTACGACATCTTCCCGATCGTCATGACGTCCAACTTTTACTGGTTCGCGTCGCTCTTGATCCCGGTCGTCGCGCTCTCGGTCGACCTCGTCGGCGGCGCCGTCACCACGAGCTTCACGCCGTCCAACGTCCGCGTCCTCCGCGAGGCGCTCCAAGAGCCGGCGCAGAAGGAGACGCTGCGCGACCGCATGTGGCAGCTGCCCGAGGTACTGCTTGCATGGATGGCGTCGAGGCGGATGCTGAGAAGGAAGCGATTAGAAACAACCGGCGCCGCTCTCGGGGTACGCGACTGGTGTCGACGAGTTCACAGCGACGGCCGAGGCCCAGCGAAGCACGACCGGGTGGAACCCGCTCGGGCAGGATATAGACACGACGTGAGCGACGTGCTCTGCGTGATAGATGATGTTGTATCGACGTTTAAAGAAGGACAAGTGCGTGTAGAATCGGCGAAGCGAGGCCATGGAACGATTGCTCGATGGTGGAAGCGGACGAGACCAGCGGCAAAGGGTGGTCAGGGGCGGGCGACACCGGCGGCTACCGGTGCGACCGCAACAAGCTGATCGCGACGGATCAGGTTGCCGCCAAAGGCTGCTCCAGACATGGGCAAAGAGCTGGCAGATCATTGAGACAGCTCATCATGTATACAGTCATCCACGGGCACGTCGATGGCAGGTGTCGGAGAATGGCGAGGTCCGGAGGTCATCACGACCCATCAGAGGTGCTACCTGCTGCAGGCAGGTAGTCGTCTTCCACCTCGTCCTCCATGTGGTGTTCTTCTTATGCGCCCATGATGGTGTTGGCGCTAGGAAGCGCTGCGTCCGCGGCGCGGTCGCACGTTGTCCGCTGGCGATCTGTGCTCGGCGGGTCTAATTCCCAACTGCTTTCCCCTGATGAAATTTCCACCAATCACAACGCACGTCCAACGTGTGCATTTTTTAATTTGTTCGCGACGTGGGTTTGTAACGATTTTCAAATGCACCAATGAGCGCGCTGCACATGCATTTTGGACAGTAATTCCGCGAATCAACGCGTGCCAAAGATTTCTACGCGCCAATCAAAAAGGTGTATTTTAGCTGACCAATCACAGAAAATGCAACGCGCCCACGCCACCGAAGCTCGCCAGACGGGCCCTATGGTCAAATTCCTGTACGAACGTCATTTTTTCAATTTGCACGACTAGCACAATGGCCAAAGCCGCTGCCGCCACCGACGCCCCGGTCGTCGAGACCCCGATCCTGAAGGAGAAGAAGCCGCGCGCCGCCAAGGAGGCCAAGCCGGCCGCTCCCAAGGTCGTCGCCAAGCCTGCCACCAAGGCCGCTAAGGCCGCGCCCAAGAAGAAGGCTGCCGCCGTTGCCAAGGCGGCGCCCAGCACGTCGTACTACGACTGCATCAAGGAGGCCATTCTTGCCCTCGCCGAGCGCATGGGCTCGTCGCGCCAGGCGATCTCTAAGTTTGTCCAGAACACGAAGGGCGACAACTTCCAGAACCACTTGCTCAACAAGGCCCTCAAGGCCGGTGTTGAAAGCGAGAAGCTTGTCCAGATCAAGGGCTCGTACAAGCTCGCTGCCTCGGAGAAGAAGCCCGTTGCTGCTAAGAAGAGCGCGGCCAAGAAGGCTGCTGTCGAGAAGGAGACCAAGGTCGTCGTCAAGAAGGCCGCTGCCAAGAAGAGCGTCGCTGCCAAGAAGGCGCCTGTGAAGAAGGCGGCCAAGCCCGCCGCCAAGAAGACGGCTGGCAAGAAGGAAGTCGCCAAAAAGACCGTCGCCAAGAAGGTCGTCAAGAAGGCTGCGGCCAAGAAGACGGTCGCCAAGAAGGTCGTCAAGAAGGTGGCTGCCAAGAAGGTCGTCAAGAAGACCGTCGCCAAGAAGTCGAAGTAAGGCGACTGTGCATGTTCACGGACGCCTCGCCGCGTCTACCCCCAATCGGTGTTTATAAACACCACCCAATATTTATGGAATTTTGGTGCACTACGTCGGAGCTATGTCGGAAGAAGGCCAGTGGTCCATGGTCAGTGTTCCATGGTTAGCGATCCATGGTCGCTGCTTGTGGGCAGAGCTTGAGTGGAGCAGAGGAAGGAAGGAGGACGGGCGTATAACACCGACCAAAGCAGTGAGAAGAACATGCTTACGACACTGAGAAGAACAGACTCGATCATTTGAATTTTCAAATTGCGTCGTCCAGTGCCTCGAGTCGTTCGGTCGTTGCACTGTTTCAAACAGAAAGTAATATTCTGTGCCGTTGAACACTGCATGGTAACACTGTCAAGGCAAAGCCAAATCCGCATAGACATTGTATTGGGTTAAAACAGTGTTTCGGAGACACTGTTTTGATGTCGCTCTGCTCGTGGCATCCTGGAACAGAATAGGTACCACGACATCGGCACAAGAGAGAAGCGTTGAGCTGAAGTGTCTGGCTGGTGATTTCGTCCCAGTACACAGCGAACACTTTGGTCAGCAGACGCCTATTGCTCGAGGGCCCAAGGTGAGGTAATGTTGCTCCCGGCCTCTACTAGCAGCACTCACGGGCTTGGTTTGATGGTGGCCTCGATCTTTCAACACGAAAGGTTCTACACTGTGCAGTGTTTGAGGAATAACATATGCATAGCTCGGTCCATCGTCGCCCGCCACCCTGTGGCAGAGAAAGCGCTCGATCATCGATCGACCATTGCGTCGAGGCTGTATACACTGGAAAGAAGTAGGGAAGAGTATACAATTGAATCCTGTTTAGCAAGCACGCGAGGTCCTGACGTGACGAGGACGACGGACATCACGATTTGGCTAATCGTTCTTGGACGATGGCGACGGCAGGACGTCAACCGTCGCCGAGTCCATGGGCACGGTGCGGTGGAACCGGTTAAAGTCGATGACCGCGGCGCCGGATGCCTCGTCAAAGTCGACGCAGTTGACAAACTGGTGGTTGAACATGACCTCGGACGCCTTGTACGACTGTCGCATTTGGATCGTCGCCGACGATGACGCGTCGATGCCCTCGATGAGCACGATGATCTCCATCTACATGATGTCGTCATGAGCCTCTATACCTTATTTTGCAGCATGCCATACATGCGTCTCCTTCCAGTAGGCCAGAATCGCGTCAATCTCCGTGTTGGTGAGCGATCCTTGCGCGATCTCGGTGGCTTCGTTGAACAACTGGCCCTTGTTGGAGCGATGGCGGTTCTCACGGTTGCCAACATCTTCGTCGGCCGCACGCTGGACAGGCTCTACATGCAAATATCCATCGATCAACTGTATCGGGAAAAGGCATCGTACCAGGGAAGCGGTAGTGAATCGCGGGGTTGTGCTCGGGCGTGTTGGACTGCATCTCGGGCGGCAAGAGCGGGCTCCACGCATCGAGGCGGTGGACGACGATCGACGGCAGCGCGAGGATGAGCCACGCGTTGAGGTCGTCGTCCGGGTGCTGGAGACGCATCGGGAACGACTGCACGTGGTGGATCTGGTGCGCCATGTGCGGGTGGCGCGACTTGTGCATGATGGCGTAGCAGCGCACGTGGGCTTCGTTGAGCTAAGAGTCCATGGCATTTCAGTGTCCTATTCGTGTCCGTTGGCAATAATACCTGGTGCTTGCGCATCTCGCACGTCTGAAACATAAAGTAGAGGTGGCCACGGAGCTTTTGGAGGCACGCGTAGTTGGAGACAGCGACCGTGCTCGCACGCGCCTGGCCACGCGCAAACCGCTGGTACACAACGCCAAAGACCACTGCGTTGATGAGCACACCGGCCATCGACTAGCCATGCCACGTGAGAGCCGCTCATCTCGCAGAATACACTGTACCTCGGTCGTGATGGCGACGATCGCACTGCCGCAGTTGTTGAAGAAGATGTCATTGCCGCCCGTGCCGAAACCAATCGTGGCAATCACGCTCACCGAGAAGATCCACGCCTCGCCAAACGTGTTGATCGCGAGGTTGCACCGGCTCGGGACGGTCATGTACATGAGTGCGTAAAAGCCGATGAGCCCGAGGTACTAGAACCAGAGTCCCATGTCGAGGCGAGTTGGCAAGATGATGATGAGACGTACGACGAGCGAGAACCACAGCAACACCTTGCTAAAGCTCTGGTTGACCAGCGTATGGAACGGCGCCTGGAAGTAGAGCTTCCACGCCTCGGGCGTGCGGATGCGGCGAATGCTACGACGGTGTTCGTGAGATGAGGACGATGATCGCCAGCGGGTGGTGCGCGTACTTCCACGTGCCACGCGACTGCCGGAACGGCCCGTTGCGGTCAATGAGGCGCGAGGGCTCGGCGCGGGCAAGCTGCGGCCCGTCCGTCATCTCTCGGTACTCTAGCATGCGGCGGCCAATTGAGCTTTGAAAAGTCCAAGCTTCTTTCTCGTACCGGCCACATCGGTCGACGATTTGTTCGAACCTTCTGCGCGCATGCTTTTGTAAAGTGTGATTTGGCGGCCAATAATGTGTCTGAAGCGAAACAGCCGACTGTACCTTGGGTGCTGGCGACCTGTCGTTTTGCGGGGTACCCCGTACCAGGACCTACGCAATCCAGGCGCTTCGCCCGCTGTTTTCAAGACAAAACGTGGTTTTTGGGGAGACCTGTGTTGGAGGGGGGACCCGGAAATACATGGTGACGCTGCGACACACAACTCGCAAGAAGCGTCGCAAGCGCACAGCCTCTAAGACATCAGCGACGTGCACCGAAAGACGTCGTCCATTGCGACGTCTGCGTACCTGTATTCCTTGCGGGACCGGCCGCCGTTTCTTTGCACCCGCCATAGTAGGTACGACCAGTTGAAGCGTCTACTGGTGATACCACGTACGCTTGGCGTTCGGCGTATGATTCTGTGGCCAGGCAGACCGTTGCCGGATGGCTGATGTAAACCAGCAGCTGAACCAGCAGGGATCGCTGGACAGCCGATGTTAGCGTCCAGACTTAGGAAGCGATCGCATTCCCGAGCCATGTTCCCGAGCTGATTTTCATCGTGCAAGAGCGCAGTATGCTACCTCGGCACAGCTCGTCGCATCATGAGGCGCGACAAGTGCGAAATATTATTGGACCCATGTCACTGATCCAGGTACTGTACATTATTGGTAGCTCGTGGCGTATGCACTCGTCGTTGAAGACAGCTTTGTGGACGTGCTTGGCCGCAAATGTGATGTGCACGCACATCATACGACGTCAGCTACCTACCAGGTATTACCTCTGCTGGACCCAATATCCGCCCACATTTTAGGAGCTCATTCGGGGAGCACGACGTCCACCCAAGGCCGAGCTCCGCATTCTGTCCATTCGAGCGAATCACTTCTGTCCTTTCTGACTGCATTACGCATTCCCTGCACCCATGCACGAGAAGACATGCCCCGTTCCTGGCGCGTGTTTACCCTCCGCTGCCTCCTCTTTACACTGGCCCCCAATGTCATGCAAAGGGCAACTTCAATAACCCGTATCTACATATATCCTTTCATAATGTATAACCTCCAAAACTAATACATACAGCCACCTCTCGGATTGCATACCGGCAATATCGAAAAGCTCGTTTTCGGATCATCCGACGACGATGGACGGGTACGCGCGCCGGTGGATGGCCTTCGTTCGCGTCGAGAGCGCCGAGGTCGAGCGCAAGGCCTACGAGACGCTGCGCGACCGAATGCAGTTCAAGGCCGGCGAGCACCACCCGCTGAGCGACGACGCAGCCAATCCATGGAACCAAGCGTTCGAGGACGAGCCGCTCGTGCGCGAGATCAAGACGGACCTCGACCGCCTGTACCCGCAAGGCCGCGAACTGTACTTCCAGGAGCGTCCGGCGTACATGGCCATTCTGCGCAACGTGCTCTTTGTGTGGTGCAAGACGCACCCGGCGGTCGGCTACCGACAGGGCATGCACGACCTCGCGGCCGTCGTTCTGTACGCCGTCGTGCATGCAGCGGCCAAGCAAGTGGAGGAAGACACGCTCGACGAGTTTACCGAGCACGACGTCTTCATCCTCTTTGCTGCGCTCATGGGGCCCATGGAACCGCTCTACGCCGTGCACCAGACGTCTTCGGCGCGCGACGACGCCGTGTCCGAGACGACCGCCGACAGCTTGTTTCGGTCGGCGACACCGAGCGCACTCGCGCCGCTCTCGCAGCTTCAGACGCTCTGCCAGTATATCCAGTACGACCTTTTGGCCAAGCACGACCCGCAGCTCGCGTGCCACCTCCGGGACGTGGACGTGCTTCCTGAAACGTACTGCTTGCGCTGGACGCGACTGCTGCTCGCGCGCGAGTTTCCGCTCGACGACATCGTCCGCGTCTGGGATGCCATGCTCGAACACGAGTCGACCTGCGATGTGTCGTCGTCTCCCATTGGCTTTGCCTTGCTCCCGTACCTCTGCGTTGCGATTTTAATCCATTTTTCCAAGACACTGCGCGGAACCGACAACACGGGTTGTCTCCAGCTGCTCATGCGCCCCGCCGAGCTCAGTGCGGCCGAGATCATTGACAGCGCCATACTCCTCTTGGACCCATTCCGCGAGGCGCATCACGAAGACATGGACATCGTCGAGTTTGGCGCCGGGTCGCTGGGCGTTGTCTTGACCGCAGCGCAAGCCCCGTTCGAGAACCGCCTCGCGGTCAAAGAATTCAAGCCGATTGCGTCATCGGGGGCGTCTATGGGGCCCGCCGAGGCGTCGGGCGTCGTCCGCGTCGGCGACCTCGTCGAGTCGGTCAACGGCGTCAAGATCTACGACATGACCACCGACGACATCCGCAAGCACATTGCGCTCCTCCCGCGGCCGCTGGTCATGTCGTTTTTGCATGTTGAAGACGCTCTGCCGTCCGCAGATGCATCGGCGATCGACGACTTGAGTTCGTTTGGCGTCGTCCCGGACTTTCTCCCGGGCGAACAGTGCTACGCCCACGTCGAGACGTCCATGTACGCACCGGTCTTCCACCCGCCGTCCGGCACGTGCGCGTCCCACTACATTGCTGGTCGCCTCTTCTTGACCAACTACCGGTGCATGTTCCAGCCCGAGGCCGGCGCGTCGTCGCGTTGGGAGATGCCCGTGCTCTCGATCGCGTCGATTCTCGCCGAGTCGTCGCTGGTCGAGTCCGGCACGCACCACGTGGCGGTCGTGCCGGCCTCGCACACGCTCGGCGTTGTTTGCAAGGACACGCAGAGCGTCCGGTTCACCTTTCGCAACCACGCCGAGTACGCGCGCATGTTCAAATGCCTCACGGTGCTAGCGTACCCCGCGTCGCTGACGGATGCGTTTTGCTTTGTCTACCGCCCGCTCTTGCTACCGGCGAAGCTGCTGCCGCCGTTTGATATTCGCGACGACTACAAGCGCCTCGGGCTCCTCGGGCCGCGCTTCCGCTGCATTGACCAGGCCTACTTGCTCTGCGACACGTATCCCCGGTACCTCGTCGTGCCGGTCGCCATGTCGGACGTCAAGCTCCAGGCCGCCGCTGCGTTCCGGTCGAGCCGACGCCTTCCCGCCGTGTGCTGGCAGCACCCGACGAATGGCGCGGTGATTTGCCGCTCGTCGCAACCACTTGTCGGACTCAAGTCGGCGCGATCGAGTGATGACGAAGACCTCGTTCGGCTGCTGTGCCAGCCAGAGAACCCGGCCGCCCTCGGCGCGTACCAAAGTCATCGATACGTCATCATGGACGCGCGCGGGCAGCTCGCTGCCGCGGGCAACAAAGCGATGGGCAAGGGCACCGAGAGTCCCGGCCAACTACCGCGGCGCCAAAGTCGTCTTTA